TAAGAGCATGTGGAGGGTACTCTGCTTTTCCATTGCATCGTGTTTTTCCTACACTAAAAACTCCAAGCAGTAGCTGGGCGGTGGTGGCGCACGCCTTTAGTCCCAGCACTCGGGAGGCAGAGGCAGGCGGATCTCTGCGAGTTCCAGGCCAGCCTGGTCTACAGAGGGAGATCCAGGAAAGGCGCAAAGCTACACAGAGAAACCCTGTCTCGAAAACCAAAAACACCAAAGCAGTGATAAATGTTCCTAAGCCCTGTTTTCTGTGAAATGCCGTAGGGTTTCCTAACCTTCTTCATGGATGTCCCCTACTCCCTTCTCTAACTGCCCCAGCTCCCTCTTCCTCCTCCACCCCACTCCCCAAAGAACCCTACTGCTCTTAATGCATAGAAGGATGAAACATAGGAAACCTATTTTTACCAAAAAGATGGAAACATCAAAGACAAATACACTGCTCATCTAGGAAGATTCACAAGCCAGTTAGTGGGCTTTAAGCAGGAGTTTCCTGGTTCTTGAAGAAAAAAAAAAAAAAGACTTCATTTTCTAAACTATGCAGGCATTAAATTGCAGCTTTCAACTTCCTTTTCTGGAAACCCATAGGCAGCTCGGGTGGGGAGATCTGCATCTGCCATCCCAGCACTTGGGAGGCTGAGGCAGGGGACTACCTGGGCTACACATGACCAGGCTAGCCAGCACTACAAAGCAAGAACTTACTTCAAAACACCAAGGGACCCCCCCCCAATATACAAATAAATAAATAATGAATAAATAAACAAGAAAGAGACAAGAAAACCTACTGGTAATGTGACTACTAAATGCAAAGTCCCTGGAGACCTTTTATCAGTCGGCTAGACAATGGGTTAGCACTTTTCTCTTGTCAGGGACCTGACAGCAGCACCCCGATTCTCCCTAGACTGTGCTTTATAAAGTTCCTTAATTCTGATTGAATTTAGATTCTGAAGTCGGGTTGTGAAGCCCAGGTGGCCTGAAATCATGATTCCGCCTGTTTCCGATGCATCTAGGACCACACGTGTCATCACAACTAGAATTATAGTATTTCTAATATTTAAAAACTTCAACGTACAGCACATTTTAAAATAGTAAGTAAATTTCCCCCAAACTAATTAGATGCATTAAAAAAGAAAAAAAAAAGACCTTAAGCCAGGTATGCACTCAAGAGGCAAGGCATAAGAATCAAGGGGCCAAGTTCATTCTCGGTTACAAAGAACTGGACACCAGCCTGGGCTACAGGAGACCCTGCCTCAAAAAGAGGGCAGAGGAACTGACCCGAGCTCATGATTTGCTTAACATTTTCTATAAATCCTAACTCACCTAATTTGTGGCTTTTTAAGCGCAATAAGGCTTTCTCAGCTGATAAATACTAATGGGCACCTTAGGTTCCTGATTATGACTTCCCCAGATGCATAACCCCGGCTCACACCACGAAGGTCCTCAAAAGGCCAGCTGCTCTTTTACCAACAGTCTCTTTCCTCTCATACATGGTGGGACATTCCTTCGGGTTGGGAAAAAACAAAAACAGCTTTCAACCTCTGCACCAAACTCTGCCGGATTAAGCAGTGAAAACCCCAGGAAAAAGGGGGTTGCCACGATGGAAGGGAGAGTCAGCTGGAGGCTCCGTGACAGCAAGTGGAAGCAGGAGACCAGCGGTCACGTGAGACGCTGCACTCCCCTCTCCGGGTCCGCAAATCTTCCCCGCGCAAACCACTCGCTCTCCGAATCGGAGGTCCGAGGGCTCCTCCGCAGAGCTCCAGCCGCCCTAAGACCCGGCTCTGCGGGAGCCAAACGCCAGCACAACCCTCCGGGCTGCGGCTGCGCGGCACCCAAGGCGGCCCTCACCTGCTTCTGCACGTCTGCATCGCTGAGGGCCATGGCGAAGGCAAAGCTCGACCAGGAGACCGCTTCGAGTATGGGATTCAAGTGTCGGCGGAGCAAACCCGAGACGAAGACCCCGGGCAGGATTACCCTTGCTTTACTTTATAACCGGCTTCCGGTTCCTGCCAGATGACCCGGCGGCCAGAGCCTTCCCAACCAATAGAACGAGAGCTGTACCCTCGGAAGTCCCGCCCTAGCCCCGCCCTTCCTCCCTTAGCGCATGCGGAAACTGTCCATCCGGTGTCTTTTTTTTTTTTTCTCCCCCAGCTGACTCGTGACTGCTTGTCAAGGACAAAATACTCCGTAAGAGAAAGGAGAGTGCTTTAGAGATTCTTCTATCGGACATCAATCAGAATTATTTATGCTTATTCAGCAGTTGCTTTTATAATACAATTTTGTCTTTTTTTCCAGGCTGGCCTTGAACTCCTGATCTTCTTGCCTGCACCTGCCAAGTGTTGGGATTATGGATACGCCCCACGCCTGGCTCAGCCACTGTAAACAGTTTAGATAATTTACTCAGAGCTCAGAACCAAAAAAAAAAAAAAAAAAGCCAGGTGTAAAGGCTTAGCTTTTAATCCCAGCCCTCAGGAGGGAGAGGCAGGCAGAGTTTGAGGCCAGCCTGGTCTACAAAGTGAGTTCCAGAACAGCCTGGGCTACACAAGAAAAACCCTGTCTCAAACAAACAAATAAATAAACAAAACTTTACCCAGAGCTTGAGATGTGGTTCAGTTGGCAGAATGCTTGTCTACCACACACAAAGTCTTGGATTTCTGTCCAGCGTCTGTGAGCCCAGTCTGGGGAGGCATATTCACAATCCCAACACTCAGGTGAGGCTGGAAAAATCGTTCTAACCCCAAATTCCACATCATTCCTTTTTTTTATAGATTTATTTATTTATTACGTACACAGAAGAGGGCGCCAGATCTCATTACAGATGGTTGTGAGCCACCATGTGGTTGCTGGGAATTGAACTCAGGACCTCTGGAAGAGCAGTCAGTGCTCTTAACCTCCGAGCCATCTCTCCAGCCCCCACATCATTTCTTTACATTGGACATTTGAAGGCTGCCTGGGCTAGAGATTGAACAAGTGTTTTTATTTAAACGCAAACCATGGGGCTGGAGACATGGCTCTGGGATTAAGCACACTGGCTCCCCTTCCAGCAGCCCTATGGCAGTTCACAACTGTATCTCCAGTTCAAGAGATCCAACAGCTTCCATGGGCACCAGGCATGCAGGCAAAACATCTATACACATTTAAAAAGAACAAAACAAAACCCAAACCAGATTTATCGTTAGTAAAAACAGAACGAGTTCCAGGACAGCCAGAGCTGTTACACAGAGAAACCCTGTCTCAAAACAAACAAACAAACAAACAGGATAAAAATAAGCCCTTCACTATTTATTATCAAATAAGAATTGTGTGAAAAACAGACCATACCAATATGCAGTTTCAGTCCAGTTCTGATCTTGTTTGGTTCAGGAGGACTTGCAGCCAATGTGCTGTGCCAGGGCTTAAACTTTTCCATTCCTAACTCTTTCAATTTTACATTATCCTTGGTATTACAGGGATATAAAATAGGTATACAAATCAAATACTGATAATAAATCATAAATTTAAAAAACAATTGTTTTATGTAATTTTTATTATTTATTATTAATGTATTATTTATTAAAGTCAGAAGCAAACTTGCATACTAATGAGATGGGTGTGCTTGTTTAATTTTATGTAAAGAATTAAATCATGGCTGAATATTTGATACCTAAAGATACAGAGTCTCTAAAATATTTTTCAGAGTTAGTGAGGGGGGAAGGAGGAAGGAGGGGGGAATCTGTGGTTGATTTGTAAAATGAATAGAAAATTTCTTAATAAAAAAAGGGTCTAATGTCTCTCAGGCTGGCCTCGGAACTAGCTGTGTTGCCAGGATAATCCCAGCCTTAGCTTCCTGCCTCCATCTCCCAAATGCTGGGATTTTGGGCACCATTGTGTTCAGTATTTGTGTAGTGTTAGGGACTGAACCCAGGCCTGGAGCATGAAAAGCCAAGTGCTCTATCCAACTGAGCTACAACACCAGCCTTCTGTTCCTGAGTGTCTTCAGATTTTTAAGGAGTATTGTCAGGTATACCATCAGTTTTTTTAGTTTTCAGACGAGACGTCTCTATGTTATCTAAGCCTATCTCCAACTCCTACATCCCCTGCACTCAGGAAGCTAAGGTGTGGGTCTCTTTGCTATGTCGGGAATAACTGAGAGGCCAGGGCTGTGCAGAAGGAATTAAGACCAGGCTGATAGAGAAGAGGGGTTTAAAGAGATATTGCAAAAACAGGCAAGTTCCCAGAGAAGAGCTCGCTCTGCCGGAGGGAGGAGGAGAAGCTCTTTTT